TTCGGTAAAGTATAAAAACGTCACATGCTAGGGGCCGGTTTGGCTCCTACAGGAATACAATTTGGAATTTCTGGACACACCGTCTTATGGACCAAAGACTGGTCTTTCCGATGGATAAAACGAGTATTATATTAAACGCGAATTAACGTAGAAATCGCACCCCAAATTGGAGCCTACTTTTGGTAAAGTATAAAAACGTCACAATTTAGGGGCCGGTTTGGCTCCTACAGGAATACAAGTTGGAATTTCTGGACACACCGTCTTATGCACCAAAGACTGCTCTTTCCAATAGATAAAACGAATATTATATTAAACGCGAATTAACGTAGAAATCGCACCCTAAATTGGAGTCTACTTTCGGTAAAGTATAAAAACGTCACATTTTAGGGGCCGGTTTGGCTCCTACACGAATACAATTTCGGATTTCTGAACACACCGTCTTATGCATCAAGGACTGCTCTATCTGATAGATTTAACGAATTTTATATTAAACGCGAAATAACGACGAAATCGTACCGCAAAGTGGCGCCTACTTTCGGTAAAGTATAGAAACGTCACATTTTAGGGGCCGGTTTGGCTCCTACAGGAATACAATTTGGAATTTCTGGACACATCGTCTTATGCGCCAAGGACTGCTCTTTCCGATAGTTAAAACGAATTGTATATTAAATGCGAAATAACGACGGAATCGTACCGTAAATTGGCGCCTACTTTCGGTAAATTATAAAAACGTCACACCTTAGGGGCCGGTTTGGCTCCTACAGGAATACAATTTTGAATTTCTGGACACACCATCTAATGCACCAAAGACTGCTCTTTCTGATAGATTAAACGAATATTATATTAAACGCGAATTAACGTAGAAATCGCACCCCAAATTGGAGCCTACTGTTGATAAAGTATAAAAACGTCACAACTTGGGGGCCGGTTTGGCTCCGACAGGAATACAATTTCGAATTTCTGGACACACCGTCTCATGCGCCAAGGACTGCTCTTTCTGATAGATAAAACGAATTTTAAATTAAACGCGAATTAACGTAGGAATTGCACCCCAAATTGGACTCTGTTTTCGGTAAAGTATAAAAACGTCACATTTTAGGGGCCGGTTTGGCTCCTACGGGAATATAATTTGGAATGTCTGGACACACCGTCTTATGCCCCAAGGTCTGCTCTTTCTAATAGATAAAAGTAATTTTATATTAAACGCGAATTAACGTAGGAATAGCACCCCAAATTGGAGCCTACCTTCGGTAAAGTATAAAAACGTCACATGTTAGGGGCCGGTTTGGCTCCTACAGGAATAGAATTTGGAATTTCTGGACACACCGTCTTATGCACTAAAGACTGGTCTTTCCGATAGATAAAACGAATATTATATTAAACGCGAATTATGTTAGAAATCGCACCCCAAATTGGAGCCTACCTTTGGTAAAGTATAAAAACGTCACAACTTTGGGGCCGGTTTGGCTCCTACAGAAATACAATCTGGAATTTCTCGACACACCGTCTTATGCACCAAAGACCGCTCTTTCTGATAGATAAAACGAATTTTATATTAAACGCGAATTAACGTCGGAATCGTACCCCAAACTGGCCCCTACTTTCGGTAAATTGTAAGAACGTCACATCCTTAGGGGCCGGTTTGGCTCCTACAGGAATAGAATTTGGAATTTGTGGACACACCGTCTTATGCGCCAAGGACTGCTCTTTCTGATAGATAAAACAAATTTTATATTAAACGCGAATTAACGTAGAAATCGCACCCTAAATTGGAGTCTACTTTCGGTAAAGTATAAAAACGTCACATTTTAGGGGCCGGTTTGGCTCCTACACGAATACAATTTCGGATTTCTGAACACACCGTCTTATGCATCAAGGACTGCTCTTTCTGATAGATTTAACGAATTTAATATTAAACGCGAAATAACGACGAAATCGTGCCGCAAAGTGGCGTCTACTTTCGGTAAATTATAAAAACGTCACAATTTAGTGGCCGGTTTGGCTCCTACAGGAATACAATCTGGAATTTCTGGACACACCATCGTATGCACCAAAGACTGCTCTTTCCGATAGATAAAACGAATATTATATTAAACGCGAATTAACGTAGAAATCGCACCCCAAATTGGAGCCTACTTTCGGTAAAGTATAAAAACGTCACATTTTAGGGGCCGGTTTGGCTCCTACCGGAATACTATCTGGAATTTCTGGACACACCGTCTTATGCATCAAGGACTGCTCTTTCTGATAGATAAAACGAATTTTATATTAAACGCGAAATAACGACGGAATCGTACCGCAAAGTGGCGCCTACTTTCGGTAAAGTATAAAAACGTCACATTTTAGAGGCCGGTTTGGCTCCTACAGGAATACAATCTGGAATTTCTGGACACACCATCTTATGCACCAAGGACTGCTCTTTCCGATAGATCAAACGAATTTTATATTAAACGCGAAATAACGTCGGAATCGTACCGTAAATTGGCGCCTACTTTCGGTAAATTATAAAAAGGTCAC